ATATTTTTAGGTTGAAACCACATGTTTGATTTTACAGTGTAGTACTGATAACATTAAAGACAGTTGTGTTCTGTGTGTGTGTCAGGCATGACAGTGTCACAGTGAAGCAGAGTGAACAACATCAGGATCCTGAAACTGAAGCAGGAAAATCAAATCCAGCCAGCTTTCATTTCACACCCATGCTTGTCCTATCACATGTTGAAATGTGCTAAATCTTACAGCCTTTATAACACTAGATTTTTTTAAATTTCTGAACATCTCAGAGCTATCAATCATATTTTAGAATAACGGAAAAGATGGTGAATATCCCTTGTATGACTGAAGGTCTTCTGCACAATTTAAGTTACCAACTACCAGCAGATGTTAGCAGGTGTTAGTGGTCACCAGTGGATGTTAGGGACATAACTTCAGTTGTGCACCTTGGCGTCATCAAGTGTTTTGACCTTGTAACCAATGATAAAGGTTGGACTTGAGGGTACGCTGAGGCTAAAGGTAAATCTGACCGGCTACTGGCTTGTATTGCAGTACTATGAAAGTACTATGAAAGCCATGTGGATCAGACATCATTATCTCTATGCCGTTTTAAACTAAATGCATTTCCATGTTAGAACATAGGACAAGATGGAGAATATCCCTTGTTCAAATATTAATCAAGAGCATAAATGATTATCCCACTTTCACATGTTATAACGTCTGCAGTTGTCATCCCTCAACATGCCATCTTCTTGTTTGGCTTCCATGACACTTCAAATGGCTTCAAGCTATAAAACATCAAAAGCACAGGTCAGAGCTATGGCAGCCTGTCAGGAAGCTTTGAATTAAAAACAGGAACAAGTCAAGGAGAACCGGTATCTCCTTTAAAATTTGTATCGAAACCCTTGCCACATATTTAAGAATGATCAAAGAAATTGAAGGTGTGAAAATAGCTGGGCAAAGTCACACATTGGCTCTTTATGCAGACGATGTGGTCTTATAACCACAAACCTAAAAAAATCATTGCCGGCACTTATGCGAATCATCAATAGTTATAGTCAGATATAAGCTGAATATGCAGAAGTGTGAGGCAATGACCCTGGCTGCTTCTGCCTGGAGTGAACTGAAAGAAGAATACTCAAGGCAATGCAATAAGGATTGAGTCAAATACTTAGGAACTGTGATACCAAAGAATATTAAGTTACTATAACAATTGAAATTCAACTGTCTGGAAGTACAGATCAGGCAGGATCTCAATCAGTGGAGAAATTGGGCAGAAGAATGGATGCAATTAGAATGAATATCCTCCCAAGTGCAAGGGTTTTTAAAAATTGGGATAAAATAATAAGTACATTTTTATGGAATGATAAAAAACTGAGTTAAAATGAAAACACTTATAATGGCTAAAGAGAAGGGGGGCTTGCCCTCCCCAATCTAAAGCATTATCATGATGCTGCCCAAATGAACACTTGGTTAAATGACAATTCTGAATCTAGGTGGAGGCTAATAGAGAAGAACGTGTGCCGTGTCTTGATAAAAACTCAAAAATAACCATTTGTAAAGAAAGTCAATGAACAACACAAATAACTGACAATGCATAATTACACTGGAGGTGTGGAAAATAATAAAGAGATACTGTGAAATGACAGATGACCTTATATCATTGAAAAAGATAAAGGAAGACTCTGAACCTAATAAACAAGATATTGCTTTTAATACTTAGGTAAGAAAGGGACTGGGCATATTTTGGCAATGTTAAGATGAAAATAGAATAATGTCATTTGAGCTTTTAAAATACCAACTCATCACACTCACACTTTTTCTGCTACTTACAAATGAGAAGTTACATTCACAACAACAAACTAGGAAGGAAGACTAACAGTAATTTACACCCACTTAAGCAATTTTTTAAAGTACTATAACAATGTTAAAGTCTAACATCAAATCTCAGCAGTTAATGCTGTCTGAAAACATCAAAACAATTATTCGGGAATAAAATTGAGGAAGGAATCAATATTATTCTAAAAATGGAAGACAAAATATAAAACAAACATGATAAATACTTGTTAAGGATACTGCGGATATCAGCACTTACACAAATAACAAGAAATTGGCTCCAGAAAACATGTCCCCAAGCAGAGAAATGGAGAGACACGGTTCAACAAATATATCAAATNACAAGAAATTGGCTCCAGAAAATATGTCCCCAAACAGATAAATGGAGTGATGCGATTCCACAAATCAAATTTATAATTTGAACTCACAAAATGAGTGGGAACTTAAACCTGTTTGAAACAAGATGGTCTAAATGGTCGATCTACTATGAAATGATTCATAATGAATACAAATTTATTGAATGTGATGCTCCATGACAGTCACTTAGAGGAGCACTACCTTACTAAAGTAAATCCAAGTGTTAAAAACAGATTAACTGGACTTGGTTGAGTTTCTTGAAGACATTTCACCTCTAATCCAAGAGGCTTCTTCAGTTCTAACTGGTTTTTGGGAGTCCCAGGTATTTAACTTGTAGGGTTGTTAGGAGTCATTGAGGTTACCTGAAAGGCTGGACCCACCCTGCTGTTGGATTCATTGGGAGTCCTAGACAGACCCACCCCCTGTCATGTGTCCCAAGGTGTGAATTGAAGTGAAACTTCCTGGAGATGGAAGTCAAGACTTTATTGTGTGTGACTGATAGGAGGTGTTTCGAACCTCCTTCTCTCAGAGATGGTTTCTCTAATTTGACAAAGATAGCTTCCTTCAATCTTCTTTCAAACCACCCGTCTTCCCTGGCCTGAATGTGGACACTGTTGTCTTCAAATGAATGTCCCTTATCCTTTAGATGTGGACTGCTGAGTCCTGACCTGAGTCGCTGTCTCTCCTGTGCTGTGTGTGCCATGTGTCTGTGAACCCAGATAAGAGAGTCCAGTCATTGTGATTATCACCTTCCTTTCTGCCTTACAGCGGCTGAACTGGAAATCACTGCTGTTAAGTTTTCTGTTGGTCTGTTTATGCAACTTCTCTGCACTTTTGGAAATGTTTCTCATGGGAACAGGCAGAGATACAGTAAATACTAGCACAGATCGTCATAACTGTTCCTGATTAACAGGATTAAAGTTGTTTATTGAGACAGAACAGTAGAGAATGATCTTGTTATTGTTTAGGTATGAACATTTCCTTGCTGTTAACTCCTTTCCTGTAACAAGCAGATAATTTAATTATGAGATGAAAAGGTTTTTCCTAATGGTTTATCCCATTTGATAAAAAGTCATCTTTGTTTTCAAGAAGTACTGAGAAAAAGATAAGATAAGAAGATAAGATGTCCTTTATTATGTCATTAGTCACACAATGGGGACATTTGCAGTGTTACAGCAGCAAGAG